CAACCGTAGATTTTTGTAAACGTTAAATTCAGTGATATCGATACGACGAAAATATTCGGCACAGATATTCTATTTGCAATCGAACTTTAAGTAAAATGAACTCCATAGTGGAAGGATGATTATTGTGTCGCGTACCACGAGCACGACGAATAGCTATGGTGCGTTACATGAGCGATGGTGATGATAGTGATGATTATTATGATGATGAAGATGAATGGATTTGTATGCTTCAATTTTTGCCACACGAAATGGCTACAAGTTCCTTGGGTGTTGTCCCGGTGCACAATGGCGTGTGGCTCTCAGATCGCGGGAACGTGGAAGCCAAAGTGAAAGATTACAGTTTGCAAAAGTTCACTGTTACATCTTGTGTTTGTGCGTGAGTTTACGGTCACTCACACCATTCTCAATGGTTCCATTGCATTACATGGCTCAAATCTATAGCGTTTACAATACAATGCCAGAAGTTTATGCATTACTTTAATGTAAATTACATTAAAGTAACTATCATTAAAGCACATTAAACTTAATGTACACCCTTAAGTTAAGATGCATTATTAAATTAAGAGTCAACGCTTTATGGAATAAATAAATGAATGAATAAATGATCTTAATGGACTGGAGATTATGAATGTATGATACGAATCAAGATGAGCGAAAACGCGGCAAGAGAAACGGGAGAACCTCTACATTAAATATATATTAATTTTAATTTAAATAATAAATTTAATGTACAAATATATTAAGTTTTATATACATGAATCCATTAATATACATTAATTTCAAGGACATTTCTGACAGTGTACGTTTAAGTTTCATTGCGAATGCTGAGCCTTTCCACGCCCGGGCCGCCCCACCTCAAGGAAGCAAGAGCCAAGCATGCGAGGAAAGAGGAACCGCTTGCCCACCCTGGGCCGCACTTCCAGCCGCAGGGCGTCGGCTGCGCGCGGGGCTCAAGCAGCCTTCAGGTTCGAGTCAACGTAAAGCTTTGACGCTTCCACCGTGTGGTTGAGACATGGCTGCCCTCTCATTCCATCACATTACTTCACACCGTCGTCCTTCCTTTATCCGTTCGGTGGAAACGAACGCCAAACCGCCTCTGCCGCCACCTGCGCGGAGAAGAGGCAAAACGTCGGAAGGCGTCGCCTTGGCCCCGAAATCATTATCGAGCCCTAGACTGCCATTCGCGTCCTCGCAATACTGCCTGCCGGAATCGTGTCATTTCAACCGCGTACCCATCAGAAGAATTAATAAAGAAGCTCATCTACCCGATTGTCATACGGTGCTTCAGTTCAAGATGAGGCTTAAGGCTTGTACATCTGCGTTCTCTCAGAACAGGCAGATAGACTTTCCTGTCTCGTGATCCCCCAATGCCGAATTTTTCGCGCCACGAAAAATTCAATGCAGGTGCACACGTTTAAAGGCTGCGAAGCGTAACTGTAAAACTGTAATCAAAATAGTATCAACCATAAAAAAACCCTGCGTAAATGAAAGAAAAAGAATGCATGAAAATAGACTCAGAACGGTCGGAGTCTTTTTAAGCAAGAAAGTTAGGCGACATGGCGACGGACGCACAAGCACCACGAGGACCCCGCGCCCAACCAAATCCCCGACTTCAGCCACCCTCCGCTCTGTCATCCGTTTGGGATCCATCGCAAACGCGCGATCAGAGAAGTAGCCTTCAACTCCCACGCCTCAGATTCGTACAGCAGCCAGACTCGACCCAGCAGCCTAGGCCCGCCATCGACTCCTCAAGAACCTCCCAATCTACATTACAAACGCACCCCGAAGAAAAACCTAAAATTTAATAAAGGCGCTTTAGACGAGTCGTTCAACCCTCGTGATCTTTTCCTAACGACTGGATATTATAAATAAAAAAAGAAACGTTAGCTGTAGGTGAAAACCATTTTCCCATTATTTACACGCCAGTTGTCTGAGTTACCTGAAGCAGAGTCAAATTGCTGAGAGCTGCCGATCAATACCAAGGTATTGTTAAAGGGCACATTACCACTCTAATTTGTTCACGTTAGTAAGTATAATTCCATTGAATTCACAAAGTATGCATTAAAAGTTCCAAGTGCACCCATAAGGCACTGGAATGGACTGACAGTGTTGGCCATATAAAATATTGCCACACTGATTATTTGTCTCAAAACACTTAATCTTGAAATATTGGATCTGAACTGATGAGTGCCCTACTCATATGAATGTAGGCGAGGGAGATTTCGACCTCTTGTCTTTCTATGCAGGAAGCCGCCCCCCCCCCCGGGTTGCGTTTGCCTTCCACCACAAGAACGATGGATGCATGATCATATGGGATGAATGATAAGAAGGATCGTGGACGAGATGATGTTCAGATGGGACACGAGAAGCTGAGTGAAGGTACAGGCACATGGAGAACACACTCATTATTTACTTGAACCCACAACCTTGGGCCTGCATTCTTGAACGCTCCTCAAAGCCCCCGCTTCACCAAAGTTGACGAGTACACCCGTATTTTTCAGATTCGAGTGATAGATACTCCACTTAGTAGCAATATACGTTTTTGCATTCTGTACGTGTGCCAAAAGTCCTTTACCTATTTTAATATCTACAACGACAAATATTTTTGTCGATGCGTAAAAATTTCAATTCTCGATCTAAATCAACATTTTCCAAAACAAAAGTGCACCTGAATGGCAATAAATGTTAGGTGTGAGAGGTGGTAAACCCTACTATCAAATTTTACTTTGGAAGACTAGGTCGAAGACGCACAGATTTCTCGAGGGATGTCCCATTTCCTCTCTTGACTGAAGGGCACTCCACGTTACTCGAAGGCGCAGCGGAGTAGCGCCGACGCAGGTCGCGCACGGCCATCAGCGAAAGAGCGCAAATGAGTGCAGATGCGGGAAGAAGTCCTACTCACTTGGAGATGGGGAAAGCAAAGGTTTCGTGCCAAGAATGGATGAATGATCCGGCTCATTCGACGAGCAGTTGTGGAAATGAGATTAGGTGCAGGCTCCACCCATATCCATTCGGCATTAGGTCAAGTTTTAGACATTGGATATGTAATATCCACTAATAAAACTACATTTTACAACAAACGCTTATGCATGCCCAAATGTTATTAGTACGCCAGAATGTGTCATAGCAATTGTGCATGTCTATGATTTTATGGTTATTTACGTGTCCATCACTTTTTTTTGTCCATGAGAGAACGCAACGAGCAGAAACTGCACTACACTACACTACAGGCTGCACTACAGGCCTCGGCTTGAGGCCGCTCCCACCCACCGCTGTCTCCCGAAGGGGCCAGCGGACGAAATTCGGCGCGCGACGCTGCAACGGGGCCTCCGCGGGGCGACAACGACCGACCCTGACCTGGCGCCGCCGCACCTTCGGCGGCCGCAGCGCGCGCGCGCCTGCGTGCGTGCGTGTTATCTCACAACAACGGCATTCCTCGCCCGCCGCCGCCGCCGCCGCCGCCCCGCAGGTGGCTGCGCGCGTACTGGCGATGGCCGCGCTTCGGGTCGCCAGCCACTAACCCAAAGGCGCTGTTAAGGTCATTAGTGGGCGTAAGTGTAGTGCATGTTTTATCGCGGAAGGTGGCGGTGATCTCCCGCTGGCTGGCGAGATTCGGCGCTGACCTACGACGGCCTACGGGTTTTCCCCCAATCTCCCACCAGCGGGGCACCGAGCAGACGGGACAAGATCTGAGCTCACGGCTGGTCTCCCGACATCTGTTGTAATGTAGGGCTTGTCAGTGTAAGTAAGTAAGAAGAGGGAAGAAAGATCGCGCGCGGTCGGTTTGTTAGGGTACTGCTCCGGCATTTTCCTACTGTGATAGGATAAATCACGGAAAACTACCGATCAGAGCAGCCGGCCGCTAGAATTCTTCTCCAGCCAGCAGCTGAAATTCGATCTAGCTCTCAAGTTAATGACGAAAATCCTGCCACCGTCGGGACACAATTTTTTCCTCCCAGTCAAAGGAACTGAGTGACATCAGTTCATGCCCTTTACCATTCCGAAAGAGAGACCTTTTCTAAATTCTCCAATGCGCTTTCTGAGTTCTTCAGACCCAAATTCTAAGGACGTCCTTGAAATCCAACCCTTAAAATCTTAGTGAGCTCGAATTATAATAATGGTAATCCGGAAGCTTAAAAGTGTTCCCGATTCCTAAGTCTACTGTTCTGAATTCTTAAAAAGATGGTATCGATGCGAGTCCTAAAAAATTCGAAACTGAATTCTAAAAAGTTATCTTGAATCCGAATGGTTATTGAATATGATCATGAAATGTTCTAGTCCAATTCCGAACAGCGCAGTAATTTATTTCGGTTCTCAACAGTGTGGGGCGTTCGAAATAATTACGCTCACCGCTTTACCCCGAGGTTGTAATCGAATGCAGCATAAAGTTAAGGTCATTTTGATATCGAAATTGTAGCGAAGATAAATACCAATCATCACTCCTTAAATTACGGTTTAAATAATTCTCATTCCATATAGTATTATAAAATATCAGTTCCCTTAACTTAGTCGCCAAATTTCGCTTAGCGGTAGGGAAATTAGCACTACAAGAAAAGAAAGGAGAAAGAAAAGATACGGTAAGAGACGGAAGCAAAGGAGAGGTAAGTCCAAAAATGGAGAAAACATGTTTGGCAGGATAGGAACCGATTTCCTGAAACAAATGTCCTCGACTTTTCTCGATTTTCCTGAGCTTTTTCAATTGTTTTCACTGATAAGATTTGTAGAGAATCTCACAGTAGTTAAAGATAATATTAAAGCAAGCTTGTAACTCTCTGATTTCGCCCAGGTAAAGTTGAAATTAGAAAGCAAAGTAAAAGAGAAATTGAAAAAAAGAACTATTATTTTTTTTACGAATAATATAGAGCGGCATAACCATATCTAAATTTTCCCTCGGTTCGCTCACAAATTCCCCGAGTTTCCCGCGACCTTTCGAGAGCAGAGAAATGCTGTGTCTTTTCCCGCTCTGTGGGGGGAGGGGGAGAGAGGGGCGATGCACTCACCGCGGCGGGGTGCGCGTACGCGGGCGAGTAGGCGGTGGTGGCGTTGGCGGTGGCGGAGGCGCCCATGGGGGCGGGGTAGCGCAGCGCGGCGTAGGGCGCGCCCGGGGCGCCGCCCCACGACCCGCCGCCGCCGCCCCCGCCGCCGCCGCCGCCTCCGCCGCCCCCGCGGTACGAGTTGCTGAGGGCGCCCGCGCTGGCCGCCACCGCCACTGCCTGCTGCTGCTGTTGCTGCTGCTGTTGTTGCTGTTGCTGTTGCTGTTGCTGTTGCTGTTGCTGCTGCTGCTGCTGCTGCGACGCCGTCATAGCACGCGGGGCGCCCTTTCCGCCCCCGCCCCCGCCGCCGCTCGTGCCGTTATTGTTGTTTCCTCCGCCGCCGCCGCCCCCGCCGCCGTACGACGGCCTCGGCCCGTTGGTCCCCTGCAACACACAAGACGCAGTCACGCGTCAGCACACTGGGACACCAGCTCAGAGGAGCACTCCGCTAAGAGGAGTTACTTCACAAATATGTAAACAACTTTGTTATATATTATTTATTTACTTCATTCCGATCACATAGTTTAGATATTTTAAGCGGTTATAAATTATTCGAATTGATTTTACTTTTTCAACTATTTAAGCAAGTCATTATGCAGAATATATCGACATAAAAAGCTAGAGTCAAACTCAGCGTTTAAATTGTTCACTGGTAGTAGCGTGGGACAAAAGGCAGCGAATTCTCGAAATATATTTAAAAAAATCATCAATACTTTCTTTAACACAAATCAACAATTTGTAAATGGATTTCAAATTTCGTGCGGGTCGTGAAGATCTCACAAATACCTTCAATCCGATGTCGTGAGCCTGTCTGTCATCGATAAACATTCCCAAGCACTCGTTCTAAAAGACCCGAAAGACGGACTCCATGTGAGGTGATATAATTGGGAAGTGAATATAAACTTCGACGGCGCGCAACACTGGCATGATTACGAATAATGCTTAGCAATGACATCATGTCACAATAATAGCTACACTAAAAACAGGCCACACATTACTGCTTCGAAAAAGACGAAACAAAATAAAATTTAAAATAAATTGGATGTTGCTCTTAAAAACCGGACAGGTGAGAGTGCTTCCAACGCGCCCTACTGAGCCCGGGCCCGAGTCGAGCGCCTATGAATGACCCGCCTCCTCCGCCGGACGTCGCTCCAATATCCCGATTCCCAGCGCCACACGTCGTCGCCCCGACACCGCCTCTTCCGCAGACCGGTTCTTCGGGGCGCACGCCCATTATGCGGCAGGCGCCGCTCGTCGCGTCGCGCAATTGTTTATGCAGGCGCAACCGAAGCAACGGCGCCCGGCCTGCCCCGCTGCCCCTGAACTTGGGGGCGTCGCACGGCCGACGAGCGACGGTTCGCACTCCGTTGACCTTGTCGGGCCTCTGCCGACACGCCACGGCCGAACCACGAAACTAAAGATAGAGCAGACACAGCCATGCCGTCTCCCCCTCCGCAAGCCATTAGTTTCACTCTCCTCCATGAATATATTTTAAAAAATCTAACGTATTGATCTTAGTATTCTCGTTATGAATACGTTTTTTTCTAAAACACATCAAATCAAGTACTTTTATTTTTTTTATTAAACGGGAGATCCAATGTCGTAGTTCGTAATCATTGTCGTCAAAAGGAAATAACGTATCTCCAGAAAAATGAGTTTTGCAAGACGTACAATCGAAAACATACGTAAAATTAGGAACTACTTGGAACCGAAAACCTGTAACAGTACTTAAAAGCTGTTATTGAATCTGTGAATATTCTAACTATTTTTGCTTTTATAACGATTACCAGTTAGAAATACGTATTATACACGAAATTTGTTTGTATTGCATGAATATGTACAATACAAGACTTAGAATGTAACCCCCCCCAATTTTACTACAACATTTATATTCTTTATATTAGTAATGGGAAATTGTAACTTGTAACAATTAATATATGTAACTATTTTTACGTTTTGCAAATTCACGATTTGCAAAAACGATTGTTTCAAAACTATTAGGAAGAGGGGGGAGACCTCTGACTGAAAATGCCCCCCCCCCCCTCATCCTGACACCACAAGTTTCCAAATTTCACAAGACCACAAGTTTCCAAATTTGTGTTCCAGTGTACTCCTCAGACGTGGCTGAACGTTTAATATAAAACTATGATGAAGTTGCCATAAATTACAGTTTTTCAATAAAATGTGGATTAATTATAAAGACACTTTCAATTTATTAAACAATTTAAATTTAGAGTCTTTCATTACAAGAATGTAAAAAAAAAAAATGTTTTTTCAAGGGTTTTTACGTGCTAGCTAACCCGGAACAGCACAATGTTACAGCCTTCTCCATGCATGCTTCCCAAGAGTGTACACAGCCACACACGTAAAATACAAATTCGTAATGATAACTAGTTTTGCAGGGTAACCGAGGTATAAAATCAATGATAGTTTTTTAGAATAACACATGTTTCTCTGCGTAAGTTAAATTAGCACTCTTCACTATAATGAAGCTATAATCATATAAGACACCGGGAAGAAGGGCAATTTAAGAGTTTTCGAGAAGGCTGAATGTCAGTGATTAAGTTATTAGCAAATATCTACAATTTACCGCCTGATCAAGAAAAATGTTGTTAATTTAAATTTATTAAAATTTTAATTACGAACAACAGTTCCTTTCCAGTTCTCCAACGGATCGACACAAGACAAACCTAATCGCAAACCAGCATAAGAATGTGATCATGGCCATAATCGATCAAAATTCGTACTTATAAGAGGCTTTAAATCGTTCGATCCAAGCGTAGCGCGGCATGGAGCGATTTCAGCCGACGAAAGAATGAATGGGGACAAAGCGGAAAACATTGGCGCAGTTATATGCCCTCAGCTGGGACACAATGCGAGGTTGTCTTGCCTCAGGTGCGTAAGCCCGCTTCCTCCCCCTCCCCCTCTCGTGAAAATGGTGTGTGTTCCTGCTCGGCCCGCTCCGGCATTTTCCGTCCCACTCTCTGCCTTGCTTGCCCCCCCCCTCTCATTCGCTCTCCTTAGCACTACGACTCTCCAGTAGTCGAGCTTGTCCACGCCTGTCCTTCTCATCTCATCATCTCATCCCTCGGTCCGCTCGCTTCGCGCCCCCCCCCCTCGCCTCACCTTGTTTCGCCTCGTTCCCCCCGGCCCTGCACCATCCCCACTGATCTCCCATTGGCAACCAGCCAGGGCCTCGTTAGAATGGCATTAATTATGCTGACTGACGAATGCCTTCGCCCGGCGCGTGGCCCACCGCCACGCGCTACTTCTCCCGTAAGCTCAGAATACTTGTGCTATCGTCTTCCTTCCGAACGTCCTTATTATAGCATCCTTTCCATCTGGTAGATGCACATGTTTCTACACTCGAGGAGGTTCCCGTAAGATTTAGCAACATATTACTACATTTTCTTGACACCAGAAAAATTCTCGAATCATTCAATTTATAGGATTTGGAAACTTTTGAATAATGAATCTTCAAAAAAAGCGATTTGCAGTAATGAAGCGCATGCAAACATTAGAACTAATTACGAAATGAACTCTTAGTTATCCACGGATGAACCCGTTACCTACTGACCTTGTAGAATTCACAAAAATAATTGGCATTTGCCCCGCGTGATGATCTGCTTCGTGAATACGGTTACATCGCTCATCTCCCAGCAATGGAGTCAATACGTTCTCAGGCATTCTTAATCATTTCAACGGCACCCAGCCTTTCGGCTGGATTGAGCCATTATGTCATTAAATAGTTACCAGTGAATGAATGAAGAATTTACGGGATCCGCAGTGGTTTGACATTACTTTTCACGCCACAAACACATTTCCTATATGAGCCGGTTCTTAATGATGAGGAATTTAATGAAAATGAAGTTCAAAACACTAGTTTTATAAATCTCCTTTTATTAGAGGAAGTTGATTAATCGAAATACATGCATAATTAATGAGTAAACTGTTAAATGTATTGCTCGCTCTTTCAAGGAATCAAACCTGGGTCCCCTTGTTTCCGCTCAGTTTATTTAAACACTAGACTACGTTTTAAGAGAATAAACGATGGTCCTAATGCGATATTCATATTTACTTGTTTAATACGAATTACACGATAACAAGATCACAACGAGCATACACTAAGTTGATGAGCGGATCTGTTGTATTTCATATAGCCATAACAGCAAAAGGTGGTGGCAACCCTAGTTTACATCCCCCTCAAGGGATAGGGTGTAAAACCTGACAACACACACGGAAACGCTTTCGAGATGCAAGAATACGTGTTTAAAAGGATTACATTAAAATTGACAACTAGAGGCCAACTATGAGCTGAATCAAGTGAAGTACAAATTATTTCATATCAAAAAATACAATTGAGGGTTATCAGAATCACAATCTTACAACGCCCGCAGCCTTTACTCGTGAGCATACGTCCACCGCGTGTGGCGCTTCAAAACCGCAACACCCGTCTCGTCAGCCTTCTGGAGAAGACTCCGCAGGCGCAGGCGCGACCGCGAAAAGCGCGGAGTCGGCGCGTCGAGGCCCGACGCATCACGGGCGCAAAGTCGCGCCGGCGGCGGCGGGGGCGGGGGGCCGGGGGCGGGCGCAGCCGGCGCGCCAAGGTCGCGATCGGGCGGCGGCGGCGGCGGCGGCGGCGGCGGCGGGCGCCTGTTGACATAGCTCCCACGCGCGCCGCCGCCGCCGCCGCCGCCGCCGCCGCCGCCGGCTATATTTATCCGCGGCGCACAAGGGCGCAAGCGCCGGGCACAAGCGCGCTCTGCCGCGCGCCGCCGCCGCCGCTTGGCTCTCTCGGTGCCGCGTCGCCCTCATTAAACCCTTCGCCCTCGCCGCTTCACTAACGCTCGCGGCACGTTAATGACGTCAGTGGCACTCATTGACAACGCTGACGTCACATCCTTGACATTGCTCACGCTACACTGGACATCGCCGATACGCCACTGACGCCAAATCATTGGCATGGCTGCCATCACGTCACTGACATCGCCATCACTGACATGCATTCCACCCGATTACCCGAGTCGCATTGCGAACGTAATTCTTTGCGCCTGCAACGCCGTCATCGTCATCACTAAAATCATAGTTTTCACCTGTTGCAAGTGCCTCCATTATTTCATCTTCGCTGGACGAACCTGCATTCCTTTTAATGATCTTTTCTTAGTATTTTTTGCTGCAACTGTGAGACAAATGTTTTCGAGAAATTTCCTGGCGAAATTGTGAGTCTATGACACTGAAGATGATTAAGTAATCGTTGTAAGCAATAACACCAATCGTTTTAGAAACCAGAGGTCCGCAAAAAAAATCAAGACATCATTTGGACCTTTTGTTTAAATAAATAAAAAAGGGAAAATCCAAAAACTTATTTTTTTAAATTATAAATATAACAAAAAATGTGCAATACATAAATAATCTTTCTTTGTAATAATCAGACAGTCCGAATTGTTAAAATTAATCAATATTTAATGATTTTTAAATACAAATATACGATTTTACAATTATAGAATCATTTAAAATTTTATCGTTTTAAATAAATAAATGTCATTAAATAGTAATTTCTTTAGTCAATATTTTACAAATGGTATATATTTTTTCTTGAATTAAAATTTAATTTTAATAGTCTCGGAGATTTAAAAAAAGGAATTTAGTGGGTAGTAAGTCGGAATGATGACGGTCATCCTTCTAACGCTATAAAGTCAATGATTTTACAATGACGTCAGTGCTCTGGCTCACTTCGATGCAGCGGTAATATTTTGAATAAAAGGCAGCGAGTGTTCAGTAAAACAGCGCAGAAACGCGTGCGACCAAAGAAAGGAAAGCCATCGTCC